TATGGTACCCGAACCATAACATCACTCCTCGATCCGCCCTGATGTATGGTACCCGAACCATAACATCACTCCTCGATCCGCTCCGATGTATGGTACTCAAACCATAACATCACTCCTCGATCCGCTCCGATGTATGGTACTCAAACCATAACATCACTCCTCAATCTACTCTGATGTATGGTACCCGAACCATAACATCACTCCTCGATCTGCTCCGATGTATGGTACTCAAACCATAACATCACTCCACAATCTGCTCCTTAGAACCTTCAGAATACTCTATGTATCAAGTATGCGTCCTCTGCTTTCAGTAGTACGGGCCCATACTACCTGCCACATCTACCCATACTTTCTACACGGACCATCCCAGAGCTTCTAAATAGCTGCTCGACCTGCTCTTTCACCAATCCCAGCGAAATTCTCTATTCTACAAGCGCACTCATCTGGATAAGGTTATTCCCTAGGCTCTTCCGTTTTCCTCCTACTTCTTTGCTATCAGCTGCTGAAGAGCTCCTAATGATGCCAGCCATCTACCTCCTGAATATCGTCATATTCACTTGGTAGCTGACTCCCATCATCGAGAGTTCCACAAAGCACAAAGCAAGCAACATTCGAGCATCGAAGAATACATAGGACTCCCTCTCTGTGATAACTCCACCTTCTCAGCTCATCCTCGAAAGTACCACTGAACTCTGTAACTCTACCCCTCATGGGTTCTAACTGGATACTCTCACTCATCACATACTCAAAAGCATAACACATATAACAACGAGTCCTAGGCTAAGGCATCACAAATCAGGCCACTCTAGTCCTAACATATGAAATACCTAGCCTGTCTCTAGCATGCAATAATATCTCATAAAGTGCATCATACATATCTCATAACACAAAAAAATAAGGGTATTTTGGGAAATCACCGTTCGGGCTCTGGCTGATTGTACACACTGCTCCTTCTTGCTTTCTCTTTGAACTCTTATTCACTTTTAGAAAATTATTTCTTTAAAAACTTTTCTTACTTCCTCAGTTTGAGTCCAGATTTACCCGAAGGCGCGTCCGAATCCCTCAAACCAAGGCTCTGATACCAACTTGTAACACCATAAATTTCAAGACAAAATTTTCATTTAAAATAATCATTTTATTCTTATAAACACTTGTTTAAAATCTCATTCATAGTCGATTTACAAAACATGATTCCATTTTCACTTGCATAGAAAACCAGGATCCTCCAAAATATGACTCTTTCTCTGGTGTGTACAATCAAGCCGGTGCCGTCCCGTGATACTGAAAGAGACCTGAAAAACATTACACAAAACACTGTAAGCACGAAGCTTAGTGAGTTTCCCCAAAATACCACACATAACACATATTAGCCACTTGAGGCTATAACTCTATGGGTCCGTGCACCCAAACTCTGTGAACCCTCAGGTTCTAACTCTGGGAACCTTCCGGTTCCAACTCTATAAACATGCACAACATAAATCACATAGAAATAATGCAGTACAACACATCACATACAAATAGCATACAAATACTCTGATCACATAACTCTGGTACCTACTCAAGGTAAAGTATAGTGAGAAGACTCACCTGGCAAGCAGAAAGCAGATATCCCCACACTTGAATCTCGAACTCGCCACCGCCTAACACGTAAGGCAAATACTCTCATGAATATAACTCTCGAGGCTAGAATAAATCCTCTCATAACACCCTCTTATGGGTAAAAGTCTATTTTATCTCTCTCTTGGCCCAAGGCCACATCGCTGTCCAAACCCTAAAAGTCAATGGCCAACCCTTGGTCGAAATCGAAGTCCTCAGTCTAGGTCAACCCCTGACTGACTCTACTCGCCGAGTCAACCCTGTGACTCGTCGAGTTCCTATAATCAGAACTTCCCCAATCCGCGACTCAACTCGCCGAGTCACCCCGAGACTCGCCGAGTCCCACCACTTTGAGTCCACTCACACCCAACTCATCGAGTCATCCCTTGACTCACCAATTCTCGACTCAACCAGGAAATATTTGGGACTCTTCGACAAGACTCGTCGAGTCCAAGAACAGACTCGCCGAGTTGTTCATACAACTCGCCAAGTTCCAGGCCATCTTCATCCAACTCGTCGAGTACACCCATGTGACTCGCCGAGTACCACCGTTCTGAATCCATTCCGAAGCATTCCAGGCCATGCAACTGCTCCAAAACCTAGATCTAGTCTCCTACCACTCATCCATCACGTAAAGTGGCAAACTTTACGTGAATCCAAAGAGATCTAAGCCATTTGCACATTGGGCTCGGATTTGGGACAAGATGGCTCCATCAACCACTCACAAACAGGGATTTTCATGCACTCTAGACCTTCTCCCTTCCAGATCTGAGGTAGCAACCTCAGATCTAGCCTCTAAACTCCAATACATCCAAAGATATGATCTCCAACACCCCCAAAATGATGCATCTAAGAAATAGCAACTCAAAAAAACGAGATATTACCTCAAAGGAATGCCCCAACTGAAATGAGACTTGAATCCAAACAAAGCTCCTTGCTCCAAGCCTTCAATCTCCCAAAATTCCTTCACAATTACTCCTCCAAGCTCCAATCCATTCAACAATGGAGCTTCTTCGTGATTTAGGGTTTTCTGGGGCTCAAGGGGTGATAAAAAGGCTGGGAGGAAGACATAATGATCATTATATAAGGCTCAACCCCGGGAATTAGGGTTTTCTCCACTCAGCGCCTACTCGCCGAGTCCAATACACTGACTCGCCGAGTCGGCCACTTAACATGCGACCAAGTCGCGACTCTACTCGCCGAGTCCACACATGGACTCACCGAGTCGCTCTTTCCCAATTTACTCTTTTAGCCCTTCAGCTCTACTCTTGATATTTCGGGATGTTACAGTTAGAGTGGTATTTTGGGGAACTCACTAAGCATTTATGCTTACAGTGTTATGTGTTATGTGTTTCAGGTACTAGCGATGATCGCGGGAAGGCGCCAGTATGATTCGCACACACGCATACCGGAGTTTATATATATATATATATATATATATATATATATATATTTGATCTTGGGTTTTGTATTGATACAATGTTGATATAATGATTTGTTTATGATTTCAACTGATATTTTATGGATTACAAAAGTGAAAAATTGTTCAAATTTTTACGGTGTTACAGTAAATCTGAGTTTCTAGAGTTCAGACATGGGTAGATCTGATGGCTATTCATCACCACATGCTCTCTATACTACTACCAAGCCAAAAATGGCAAAAACAAGCCAAATAAGAGATCTAACTGAAGAAGGACAAAGTTTGAGCTTGATACCTCAAAGAAGACTGTAATACAACAAGGAAATTAGATCTACTTTGCTCCCCTTGATTCCTCCTCTTCTCTTCTCTTCTTCTAGCTTTAAATGCACCAACAACTTGCACAATATGAGAAATCACACCAAAAATGATAAGGAACGGCTAGGGTTTTAGTATGGAACTCTCTGTGGGTGAGGGAGGCTGATTAGTGCACAAAAAGTCGTTTAAAAAGGGTGCAAACCCTTAGATTTAGGGTTTCATCCAAACTGGCGGACTCGCTGAGTCCAAGCATATGGACTCGCCGAGTAGCCGGCTCCAAACATGTGCTTATTCCGCCTCTACTCGACGAGTCGGGTTACTGACTCGTCGAGTTCCTCTTGAAAACTTGGAAAAAAAATAAATATTGAAATACAAACCAGAATTGGAGTGTTACACAAAACTTTAAACTGTATCAACGTATGTAATTTTTCTTATTAATTTAAGATTTTTAAAACTAACATATTAAAAGAAAACTTGCATGATTATACTCAAAACTAGCCGATCTTCAATCTTATATTATTTTTCACTATCAAAATAATATAAAAATAGTGCGAATCATATTTCATCACCAACTCTACATTCTTTTTTAATTACTTTTTACATAAAAAAAATTATACTTCCTAATATATTCTAACTTATATATTGTCAAAAACACTCTTCAACTTATTTATTATTTATTTATTTATATTTTTTTGTGTAAAACTTTACAAAATATATTATTACAAAATTATAGCCACATCAATTTTTATATATTCATTAATCCGAATTAGATGTTATTTATAAAATATATTATTACAAAATTAAAATAACATTTGTTAAATAAAAAACTACATTTAAAACTATTTTTATATATTTATAGTTAACTTTTTTTTGAACCGACAAATAGATAAAGGGTAATCCGATCCGATCGATCAGGAATGCCTGGCGGGCCACCAAGAGGGGCACCGCTCACCACCAAAGGGAACGAATAATCGAATCCACGCTAATCCAGAGAAAATCCCCCACATATGCTCAGGCAAGAGTAAAACTCTTGACCTCACCCACTGATGTCTATAATCCAGGATGCAGCACAACCAGTTAGGCTAGTTAGGCTGGTGATACTTGCATTTATAGTTAACTAATGTTAACTTATTATATAATATAATATAATAATAAATAATTGTTGTATTTAGGATATAATATATAATATTTATATAAATTAAGCTAAATAGAATAATATTAAAAACAAATGGACTAAAATTTGACAAATAGTAATCTTACAAAAGAATAATATAAGTAGATTTAGAAAATAAAATAGGAATTGGAGATACTCTTATACTCCACACATTTTGATGTATAAAGTGGGTTTTCGACCTTTGGTATTGGGTTGGAGATGCCTATAATTAAATACAATATGATTTACAAAATTGAGAAAATATTTTATAATTAATTATAGAAGTAAATAAAGTAGTATATTATAAGAGGAAAGACGAAGACTATATGTAAAGAAGTTTTGACTTAGACCTTTGTAAAGCCCGTCTACTCTTTGGAACATCAACGACCAAGTCATCATCTCCCACCTCCTCTTCCCCTTACATTCCCCCAAAATTTACTCTCCAATTCCATCTTTCATTCTTCCATCTTCAAATTCCACTTCATCCACCCACCATCGTTGCTCCAGCCATCATCCATGGCGGACCTAGTCAAACAGATCCTCGCAAAGCCGATCCAGTTAGCCGACCAAGTCATCAAGCTCGCTGACGAAGCCTGTATCAACAAGCAAGACTGCGCTGAACTCAAATCCAAGACGGAAAAGCTCGCCGGACTCCTCCGACAAGCGGCGCGTGCGAGTAACGATCTCTACGAACGTCCTACAAGACGTATTATTGACGACACAGAGCAGGTTCTTGAAAAAGCACTTTCTCTAACCCTAAAATGCCGGAACAACGGCCTTGTGAAACGGGTGTTTACTCTCATACCGGCAGCTGCGTTTCGGAAGATGTCGTCACAGCTTGAGAATTCCATAGGGGATGTCTCGTGGCTGTTACGCGTCTCCGCTCCTAACAATTCAACCGATGAGTACCTCGGTCTCCCTCCGATCGCTGCTAATGAACCTATTTTGTGTTTAATTTGGGAGCAAATCGCGATTTTGTACACTGGAAGCCTAGATGACAGGTCCGACGCGGCGGCGTCGCTTGTCTCGCTTGCGAGAGACAACGATCGGTATGGGAAGCTGATAATTGAAGAAGGCGGAGTCAATCCGTTGCTGAAATTGGTGAAAGAAGGGAAACCAGAAGGTCAGGAGAACGCTGCATCTGCAATCGGATTGTTAGGTCGTGATCCTGAGAGCGTCGAACACATGATTCACGCCGGTGTATGCTCGGTGTTTGTTAAAATTCTCAAAGAAGGTCCCATGAAAGTGCAAGCAGTCGTCGCCTGGGCTGTATCGGAGCTCGTATCTCATTATCCAAAATGTCAAGATCTCTTCGCACAACACAACATCGTTCGATTACTCGTTGGACATCTCGCATTTGAAACAGTTGAAGAACACAGTAAGTACGCAATCACTAGCAACAAGCCCACCTCAATTCACGCTGTTGTTTTAGCTAGCAACAACACAAACGGCAGCAGCAACAACTCCAATGGCGTTCTTCATCACAATCCTTCCAACAAATCAACAAACGAAGACGAAGACAAGAGTCGAGTTCCACATCCTTCTGGTAACAGCAATCAACCTTTCAAAATGCACAGTGTAGTTGCAACCACCATGGGAATGAAAGATGGCCAAAAACCTAGCAACCTAAACCCGAATCAGAATCAAAAAACCGAAAGCATTACAGTCAAGAAGCAAAACATCCATCATAACTCGAGCCTTTCCCTTAGTTTACACAAAGGGAGAGAATCAGAAGACCCTGCAACAAAAGCCTACATGAAATCAATGGCTGCGAAAGCACTTTGGCATCTCGCCAAAGAAAACTCCACCATTTGCAGAAGCATAACCGAATCAAGAGCTCTACTCTGCTTCGCAGTCTTACTAGAAAAAGGCCCAGAAGAAGTCAGATACAATTCCGCCATGGCACTCATGGAAATCACAGGTGTAGCAGAAGAAGATTCTGATTTACGAAGAGCAGCTTTCAAACCAAACGCACCCGCATGCAAAGCTGTAATCGAACAACTCCTTCAAATCATCGAAAAAGCAGATTCAAATTCACAACTTCTTCTTCCATGTATCCAATCCATCGGGAACTTAGCAAGAACATTTCGTGCAACCGAATCACGCATGATCCAACCGTTAGTTCAACTTCTTGAAGAACGTGAAGCTGAAATTTCAAAAGAAGCTGCAATCGCACTCGCGAAATTCACCTGCAAAGAAAACTACCTTCATCTTGATCATTCAAAAGCCATTATTACAGCTGGAGGAACACGACATTTGATTCAATTGGTGTATTTTGGTGAACAAATGGTTCAGATTCCTGCATTGGTGCTTCTTTGTTACATTGCTTTTCATGTTCCTGATAGTGAAGATTTAGCACAGGCTGAAGTGCTTACTGTTCTTGAATGGGCGTCTAAACAATCTCAATTGATTCAGATTGAAAAGGTGGAGAATCTTTTACAGGAATCTAAAGGTAGGTTGGAGCTTTATCAATCTAGAGGATCAAGGGGTTTTCATTAGATTTTTATTAGTTTAATTATATATAATATGTTATAAGTTATTTGAAGAAAGTTTCTTACTTTTTTGGTTTTAGTTTAGGTTAAATGCAAGAAATAGCATCGTATTTATTTTGATTTGTTTATAATAGCATCCGATTTTCATTTTTTTTTTTAAATTTTATTTTATTATCCTATTCCATTGTTGTGTAATTTGGAAAATCTACCTAGAAATTTTCACTCTTATAATTGAATAGATTTTCAGAGGAGAAAAAAAGTTAAAAGTACAATGTTGGTGGATTTTTAATATTGAAAGTACAATGGTGTAATAGAAAGAAAAAAAAGGTAGGATGTTATAATTAACAAATAAATGAAAATATGTTTTGTTCCTTTCTATGCGTTTCTTCTTCTCATGTAATAGTTTCTTCTCATGTAATAGGTTATAAATGATATTGAAGGGTCCTCTTTAAAAAAAAATGATATTGAAGGGTTATAAATGCATAAAATAGTTTGGTACTTTTTTTGATATGTTTATTAGGATGGAGGGCAACACTCCTTCATGAAACCGCAAACCGCAATGACACGTAGGTGTCACCTCACCCATTACAACAAAAGTATGGTTTCATACCACACTTAGGGAGTGGTGCCATATTTTGGTATTTTTTTTTTAATAATTAAAAGAGACCGATGAGAAGGGAGGAAGAAAAATGAACCAATCACATTATTGGAAGGTTGTTTGAAGGAGTGCTCCCTTGGAAGGGTGCAGTACATTCTCTACCGCACCCAAGGGGCGGTGTTTGTGTTTATGTGGCAAGGGGAGTGCGGTCCAGGCCGCACCCACTTCTTCTGGTCTTAAACACTAGTTTATAATTTGTGGGAACCACGATTATAAAATTAATTAAACTTCTATAAAAAAGTTAATATGATTAATTAATTATATTTTTTTTATTTATATAAAACTATAATCGTTGATATAAATAAATACGTAAAATTATATCATCTTATAATATGTATTAATTTTATTTTGTTTTTTTATTTTAATGTTATTAATTTAATATAATTAGAATGTGAAATTTAAATTTTAAAATTTGAAATGAAAATTCAATAGGTTGATAAATGACATGACATTAAATAAGAGGTTTAATAAGATGACACTTAACAAAAGAACTACGTTTTTATTAGACCATCTCCAACATATTTTCATTTTTCCCCTAAAAATGAAGTAAAAAAATGGAGTAATAGCGTTTCATCTTCAACCTACTTTATTTTTTTACTTTATTTTTACCCTCAAAAAGCATATTTCATTATTCTAATTTATCTAAATTGTTAAACACACTCCTTTTATTAATTTGGTTTTAACAAATATATAATCTATATTTTTTCATTATAATAATATTAAATAAATAGGATTATATTTATAATACAAAATTATAATCTTTTGTAAAATACGTTATTGGATTTTAAAATTTCAAATATGTATTTAAATTTTAATATGAATTTGTTAAGCAAAAAACAAACTTTATATTTATAATTAATTAGTATAATTTAATATATAACACAATATTATAAGTATTAAATGTTACATTTAAAGAATAATTAATAGATAAAAAACCAGAAATATATAAAACAAAGGAATAATCGACAACTCAAAGTTCATCCCCATTTTGGGGGAAATTTATAGTATAACTCCATATGTGGTGTTATATTATTCATTTCCCCAAAATGAGGGAATAAATAAAGTAGGTTTGGAAATGAATGGATGAAGAAAGGGGGGGGGGGGGGGGGGTGAAGGGGAATAACGGAGAATGAGAATGGGTTGAAGATGCTCTTAATATAGGTAGACTAAATATCTCTTTTTTATCTTTCATGTGTAGTACTATACTTTGAAAAAAAATATATAATTATAACAATGTCATTCAAATACAAAACAATTTTTTGATCTTATAATGGTATGATTTTTGAAAGCGAATGTTCTAACATCAAGAAATTGAATGTAGGATGCTATATTATTGGGTTGATTGTTTGCACTATAAGGTCATCTATTATACCCACCACATACCACATATGTGGTGGCTACCACATCAACACCATATTTTCCTACCACTAACATGAGATACCTACCCTTAACATACCACTCCACATCATTATTTTTATTTTTTTTAATTCAAAAATACAATAAAATTACATTTTTTATAATTAAAAAACATTTATTTTTTAAACTAGTATTTCATTAGTTATAAAAATAAAATTATAACTTTAAACTACATTACTTAATTAATATAGAAAAACATTACATTAATTTAAAAAAAAACCAACATACATATAAAAAAACTAATATTCGTTAATGTTACGTTGATACAAATGTTCTGCGACATCTTCTCGAAGATTAAAACACGTTTCACTGTTATGAATTTCAATAACTTGCTCTAAAAACTCATTCGTTCTGGGTACAAACTCCTCAATTGGAATGACCATGTCGTTCAGATCATACGTGAAAATCGCTCGACCTGCATATTCAATAATCATATTATGCATTATAATACATGCTAGGACCATTTGCTTAATTCTTTCTTTATCCCAGAGTCGTGTAGTATATTTTACTATATGTCAAGTCTGCTTAAGGACTTTAAGTGCCTTCTCGATATCCTTTCTTGCCGATTCCTGTTTTTTTTTGTAAACAAATTTGCCTTTTCACTTCGAGGAACCGAGTATGCCTTCATCAATGTAAAATAATCCGAGTATATCCCATCACCAAGGTAGTAACCATATTTGTACGCGTGCCCGTTCACCGTGAACGTCATATCAGGTGCTTTGCTGGTCCAAATATCGTTGAAAATAGGAGACTGTTCAAGAACATTAATGTCGTTGAGATGCAATAGCTTCTAGGATGATAATTGGTTCACCCATATCTCCTCGAGTGAACTGGCCACACCATGCATTTGGACATTTTTCCCAAGCCACATGCGTACAATCTAGATTGCCAAGCATACCCAAAAATCCATGCCTCTCTTCATGAGCCGAATGTAACCGCTCAATATCATGTTGAGTAGGTTTGCGCAAATATTGTTTGTGAAAAACCTCATACACAAATGCAGAAAACCAATCTACACATTCAACTGCGGTCCTCTCGGGTACTTTCAAGTATTCGTTAGATGCATCAAATGCTATACCGTATCCCAAATACATAAGAGCAGCCGCATATTTTTTGTATACTACTAAAACTCATTCTTCCTCTAGCGTCGGATTTTTGTTTGAAAAAATCATAATGAGATTCTAAAGCATTACTAATACATAAAAATATTGCCTTATTCAGACGGAAACGATGTTCTCAAGAGTTGTCATTTTAAAGAAAATTATCAGCAAAGTAATCACGTACCAATAAGTCGTGTGCGGCTTGGCGATCACGATTGACGACCACCCTTGTACGAGAAATATTTGAACTTTCTTCGTCGTGAATGTGTTGTACAACGTTGAAGAATGTCTCGACGAATTTTACGTCATCATCCGAGTCAAAAGTTTTTTAAGAATTCCATGTGTTTTGTGATTTTAGAGAATAAAGGTTACAATAAAGATGTAAGTTTTGGTGAAAATAAAAGGTTTATTTATGTGTATTGAATTGAGTTTGAAAAAAAAAGGGAGGGGGGGGGGGGCATTTGACCGTTCAACGGTCAATAAACCAATCACCAATCACCTATTCCGTTTAAACTCGTCGTTGGGAACACGAAGAACAACGACCACGGAATGTCGGGATGGTAAGCATGAAATTTTCTTGTGACCACATGAACCACGGATGCTCAAGTTGAGAGTATACCGTATTGTCTAATGCCATAACAAAAATGAAATGCAAGTACAATGTTGGAAAAGGAAAAAAGGTGAAAGTAAGATGACGTTATACACAATAAGTGAAGGTACGTACATTACTTTGAAAAGTATTGTACTTTTAAGGCTGGAGAGAGTGGTGCCACCGAAACCGCACTCCCTCCCTCGCCACGTCACATTTTACCACTTAAGTGTGGTTTCCTTCCACACCAAGGGTGTGGTGCCACAGTTTTAGTTTTATTTATTTATTTATTTATTTTTTGTTAACTATTTTAATTTAATAAAACTTATTTTTTAATAAAAAAACATAATTTTAAAAACATAATAGTTCATTAATTAAAAATACAAATACCATACATTACCTAATTTAAAAAAAAAAACCTAAAAATTTAGAAAAACAAAGTAGAAACAAAAAACCAACAACTTTAAAAAAAAACACACAAGAAACCATTAAAAACTTGAAAAAAAAACTAGAAATTAGCGACGATTCATGTAACGGTTTTTCACTTCCTCCTTCATCGCTCAAACCACTTCAAGCTCGGCCCCGGTCATATTCGACGTGTCCATTGCTAGTATTCGCATGTCGCTCTCCCTTTATTTCCGAAGCTCTCTTTCAGAAGCAATTTTCAAAATCTTGTCCACTCTCTCTTTTATATCCTTCATGTCGGTTCCCATTTCTTTCAAATCATCTGAATCCAACGCTTTGCCTTTGCTTTTTGATTTGTCTCTTCCCAATGGTCGGGAAGGTGGTGAAACTGGAACAGGTTCATCTTCGTTCAGATCAAACTGAACACGAGCATCTGATGTAGTGTGGTCGGACTCAGATGTTCTGCTGCGTTTTGACCCACTGTCGATATGTTGGTTAGATGTTTTGCTACTCAGCCATTTCCTGTTATCTTTCAAAAAATTCCAAACTTCAAGAAACTTGAAAGCCTTTAGATTTTCTTTTTGATACACTTTCAAAGCTTTCTTCAAAATGACTTCATCACTTTCTCCACTTTTCCATTGACGTTTCATGTTGTTCCACAAGTCATTGAACAACATGACTTCCTTGTTCATCTTCCCCTATTTGGAGTGCACTTGATGTTTTGAACGGTATTCTCCACGGTTCATTCCTTTATGGAACCTATGTAAAACGCGAATCCAAAAGCGGTCATGCTTTTGGTCTTTTCCAACCGTCGCGTCTTCTGAAATATCGATCCAAGA